CCACTGTATTCATATTCTCTGTTTTGGGCAAAAGCCAAAGCAGAGGTGGGGTTCCATTGTTAACATCCCACATTCCACTGCGTTGTTCACTAAAGAGTGAAAACTGGCCACTTGGAGAGCCTGGGCTGGGTGTCTGGCGGGCAGTGACCCTGCTAAGCCACTGACAAAGGGAATGCTTCCTCTCTGCCTCAGAGACCCACCCGCCCTCTGGCTCCATTCTTACGTGTCTGTATGCATTTATCCCCTGCCCGCACTCCCTCCCTCCCTCCTTTCCTTCCTTCCTTGCCGTGGTGCTGGGGTACAATCCAGGGCCTTGCACATGCTAGTCAAGTGTTCATTCACTAAGCTACATGCCCAGTGTAGATTCTTTAATTTGACAGGCTGTTCTTCTAACCCTTATCTATTCACCCACCTCGCTCTTTCCTAAGCAGCCAATATAATATTTCTTACAGGGGAATTCATACAAGAAAAGGAGTTCTGCCTAAGTTTGTCAATGCATAAGCTGGGACAAAAATATGTCACCACATGACATAGAGCATTAGAGATGTGCAAGAGCAAAAGTGATCCAAAATGTTTTAATGACTATTGAATTTGATCCTTCAATTGTGGAAGGTTCTCAACAAATGTTCATAGTATGTGCCAGCAACTGAAAATGCAAAGGTCAATGAGACACAGCCATTGCCCTTGAGAAGGCCAAAGGACAGCGGACATGGAAGGTCCCTAAAACAATAAATAACTGGTGTGCAGGGGAGAAACTAGGCTAACGGGGCTGTATGTGCTTAGCTCCTGTGAAGTGTCTTCCTAGGGAAGGCGCCATATTTAAGAAATGGAACTTGATGATGTCAGTTACTATTTACGCGACCTAAAGTGAGTTATCGAAACTTCATGAGCCTCAATCTCCACTTTTGAGAAGTGGGGGGAATAATAACATCTGCTTGCCAGGATTGCAGAAGGGATTCAAAGAGAGAATGAAAAACCCCTTGTTAACCATCCCTTTGCTTGGTTTCCGGCACTCGGTCAGAGTACATACATTTAGGATACTGTATACTCGTGGACTGAATTCCTTGTGGAAAGGGACTTCCTTTTAAGCTCTCTGTTAAACACTTGAATAGGCCAACCATATTAGAAATAGAACCTATACCAACTTTCATACAAACCAGTGGGAGCACTTCAGAGCACCAAGGCCAGAAATATCTCCCTTCACTGGAACACTGTCTGAGAAATTCTACTGGAAATTGCCTTCTCTTGAAGATTCACAATGAACATTAGTATATTTAGTGGGTTAACAGAGTTGCAATAATGAAATCTGTTTAGCTTTGTTAGTTTTGTCTTCCAATCTCTTTAAAACAATGATATACTCTGGAAAACTCCTCAATATACCCAAAACTCCAGAAGTTCAGACTCGGAAGGAAACTCTGGGCAGAGAGGGGTGGTTGATTCCAGAGTTCCTGCCTCTCCCTTGCGTATTTCCTTCTTCTACTGTTCCCTCACTTTACTCTCTGCCATTGCCATTCAGGGACTCTTAGGGCTTGTTAAGACTCTGGTTTCTCACAGTAAAGATGATAGTTGTGGAAATATTGCCAAGTCTGTACTAAACAAGAGACCTCCAGAAAAATGCAATGAAGAAACATCAAGAAACACGTCAACAGCATCGTCAGAGTCCCTGTTCTCACCACAGCTGGGTGCTTTGAGACGTGGTTCCCTTGGGCTTGGACTGAGCTGCCTCCTTTTGATCCCCAAATGGCTGGCACAGGGCCAGGGATTTAGCTCAGTGGTGCCACTGCCTACCCGGAAAGCTCAAGGATCCATGTTGGAGCCCTAGTACCAAAAGAAAAGAAAATCTGCTAGTTTTCTCAATGAAACCCAACCCCAACCCTCAAAGACAGCAGTCCTAACAGTGGATCCCCAAAGGCACCATTCTGCTGGGGCCAAGGACACTGGTCCTGGGGGCCATTACTGGCTCTTTGAGGTTGAACATCAAGTGTGAACCCAGGAAACTCCCCTTAACTGATTTACAGACACTGGTGGGACCAATTACGCTAAGGAATCATTCACAGGAAGGAAGCACAGCGATAATCTGACTCACATGGTCAGCTTCTCTCTGGAGTTCAGCTTGTTTTCTAACAGAACATCAAGGGTGATGGATTTATCCAGCTCATGACTCTAAATCAGAAAAAGCCCATAACTGGGATCTCTGGCAGATGATAACCAGGTCAAGCAGGTTTTTAAAAACAAAATTAAAATCCTACATCAAAATAAACACAAAACACTGGGATTGAGTTTTTAACTTTTAAAAAGTCCTACAGCCAAACACATGTTTCCCTATTGACACAGAAAGGGATTACAACTCCAACCTTGGGCAATTTCAGTCTCTATCTCTTCCCCTTTCCTTTCCTCAAAATTATCCTTGAAATCACAAGATCTCCTCCTAGCTGGAGGAAATTGCTTCACTCTTTATGGCAGGGACAAGGGGTTCTCTGTCAAAGGGTAGATTTGTTCACGGAAAAGAACCTAGAGATGACTAATGTTTCCCTTTTTTTTAAAGTGAGGGGGATAGTTCCAGGTATTTTACAGTAGCAGAAGGAAGGTAGAACTGGCAGGTTTATGGAGAGCCAAATGCCCCTACTTTACTGAAACAGAGTCAAAGACCATTGTCTCTAAATACAAAAACTACAGAAATGTTAAAATATCCCTAAACACCAGGCATTGCGTGATGGCAGAGTTGGTCATTATGCAGGGAAGGCTGGAAAAAGTTCCTCTACAGACACTACTCTACAGAGGAGATTGGCAGCCTACCACTTAAAATGTTTATTTCTTTCCAAAACTTTCCTAACCCCCTTAGCCCTTTGATGCTTAAGAGCAAAGAGGGAGGCTTGGAGGCCATGCCTACAACGCAGGCAGTGCCAGGACCCAGCTGGCACTCAGGACCCCCCCCCAAATCCTGTGCTCAGTAGGAGCTGTTCAAGGACTGTGACCATGATTAACATTTTCTCAACAGTAAACATCCACCAAGTGATCAGAGCAATACCTGTCAAGAATGGTATCGTACTATGGATGATGATAGTTGGGTAGGGAAAGGGGGATTGTTTTTCAAAATCACAGACAGAAAAACACATGGAAGCAGGCAATTGCTTTCCTTAGGGTTGAAATAAATTTGTCTTGTTTTCTCTAATGGTGCTACTTTTTAATTTATTTTTTGGTATTGGGGAATCAAACTCGGGACCTTTTGCTTGTGAAGCAGGTGGCAGAGCCACTGAGCTAAATCCCCAGCCCTACTTCTTAAGAGTCACTGGAGATGGACCTGGGCAACAGTTTCGTTCGCTGAGGCTTCCACACTGTGGCAGGCTCTGGGCCAGGCACTGGAGGTCACGTATACAATCCCTACCTGTCGGGAACTCAGGAGTCAGTGCAAGTGCCAGAAATGGACAGATAATGTGGCAGGCAGGGTGAGAGTATGAACAGGGAACTCCTGGCAGCCTGCCTAAGTCTCCTGCAGGATTCCAGATACACAACTCAGCTCCTCTCACACCGCTTCTTAAGAAACAGCAAAGGCTTAGGAAGACTTTCCAGGGACAAATCCTAGCTCTGTGAACCTGACATAACCACAATGGCCACTCCTTGCCAGATGCTGTAAGGGGCAGCTCTGTCTTAGTCTCTATTTTCCTTCTTTCTGAGTCTGGTAACAGCAACTTAGATTCCTTCAAAAGAATTTCTCCTTTCCTGAGACCTTGATGGGATATTAACCCCCTCTCCCACACCAAGCCACTTCCCACCTGGGCAAGAATTTGCCTTGAGACACAAACTAGCCAAATGAGAGCCGCCAAGGAGCCCGAGTCTTGTACACACAGATGAACAGGCTTGAAGCTAGGTGCATGCCACTGGCAGGCACCTGAAGGGTCATTCATTTGTCCTGATTACCTGCATCCACAGGAGCACTTTATTCTATTCCTTTTCAAGGCCAGATTTGCTCAGGTTTGCCTTTACTTCTGTGGAACACCTTCATAATATGCTTTTGATTTCATTATTAAGAGGCCAAGTTTGAGTTCTTGTTGCTTGTAACCAAAGAGAGTGGATGGATACAAGATCTTACTCCATGCAAGGCACAAAAGACCTCATTATCAGCCTCCCCAAGGAGACCATGTTCCTGCTTGAAGAGGAGACTGATGTTGAAGGTTGTGAATGCCCAAAGACACATCACCCGTCTACAGTGGAGCAAAACTTTGCATTAGGGTAAGAATCAAAACCCAAAACCTTAGCTCTCTCCTATCCATCTTTCATCTCCCCAACCTGATTCCCTATCAATCAACTTGCTGCTTTTAGGTCTAACATCAAAATAATTTACAGTGTACAAAACATTTCTTATAACAATGCAGGTGATCACCGTGGCCACTTGGGAGGCGGGCACCTTATGACACTGGAAAGTAACCTGAGCCTGAATCTGTTCAGCCCATTTTTTCCCCTGCTTAAAACCTTTCTGTGTAACCCTATTATGCTGGAGGCTGAGGCAAGAGGATCACAAGTTGGAGGCCAGCCAGGCTGCATAACAAGTTCAAAGGTGGCCTGAACTACATAGTGAGACCTTGTCTCAAAACTCAAACAAAATCAAAACAACCACAAGCTTTTCTATGACTCAAAACAGCCTGCAAAAGCCCTCGCTCCAAGCTGAGACTAGAGAGTACCCACTTACTCATCTCATGCCTGCTGAACCCCTATTTACTTTTTCCAGACTCTAGCAAAGCCTACTTCCTTTCAAACTTTTCCATGCCCCCATGCTGAAGCAATCCCCACACTGCATCCCGATGAGAATCTAGGGCAGCTGTAGTAATATCTGATGTTACAGTGAATGCTGGGATTCACTCTTCAGTCTCTTTCCACCCAAAAGTTAAAATTAAAAATCCAGTCTGTCTGCTTACAAGTGGCCATGGGATTTAACACATTCCTGCATTACCATGGTCTTCTCTGCTCACCCGAGCAGCCTTGGGCATTAGCCATGTACTCACATGCAAGCCAGTTTCTGCAATGCATCAGATGGAACCTGTCGCTTGCCTACTGAATCAGGAACTCATGAGGGGGCCACACGACATCCTGTCCCGCAGGAGCCGGCTCTTGCAGGAGAGCACCCAGGGTGGGAGGCTCTGTTGGTCTCAGTTCCCCCCAGGCTGCCAGGGCTTCCTCATTGGGTTCCACCCAGGTGCCTTTATTCTGTTCCCCTCCACCCAATCACTGCCTCTCAACAGTCAGGACCTCTCAGGTCCACTTTTCTTTCCTCCACCGGCAGTAACTTGCTAGCTGATTAGCACTCGGCAATGGTCCCGTGCTCCTCACTTACCTGCTAGCTCTCTCCACCTGCATGACGCTTGCAGGAAATTCACAGAGGTGCTAGCCTTCCTCAAGGTTTAGTCATTTGCCAGGCACTGCACTACACTGTATGGTTTTACATACATGACTGTCTTGGTCACTTTTCTCATTACTGAGACAAAATACCTGACACCCAAAGTTAAAAGAGGAAAGGTTTGTTTCAGCTCACAGTTTGTAGAGGTTTCAGTGCATAATCAGCCGGCTCCAAGGCAGAAGGGCATCTCAGAAGAGAAGTGGTTCATGGCAGGTAGCAAAAGCAGCAAGCGACAACAGCAGCTCTCTTTAGTAAGGGCAGGTAGTACTCACACCCAGGAGGGCCTTCCCATTAGCCACTCCCCGAACTATGCCAAACCAATCAGCGGACTAATTTTGTAATCACACACCCTTAACCTCAGCATCACATACTCTAGATCCTGCCACCTCCAAAAAGCCCCACCAATGACTTCATGAGGCTTTGGGTGGGGGCATCTAGGTACAAGCCATAGCAACGACCTTCTTTAATTTCCATTGTATTTTGTAATTTTTTTGAGATAGGGCCTCACTATGTAGTCCAGACTGGTCTCAAACTCACAGCCCTCCTGCCTTAGCTTCCCAATTGCTGGGATTGCAGGTGTGCGCTACCATGCCCAGATTGTAATTATTCTTTATTCCCACTTTGCAGATGAAAATACTGAAGCTTGGCGGGGTGGAGTAACTTTCCAAGGTCACACAAGAAATAAATGAGAACTGGGACTCAAGGCTCCCATGTGGCACAGGAAGGAAGTGTTGTTTGCAGTCTGCCTCAGTCACTCTAGAGTTGTCTACAGTGGACACTTGACTTAGGAACTCAATTCATTCCCGAGGGCTGGTTGTAACTCAGTCAGTCAGTTGAAGGCTCAGGCTCCTCTACATGTCCTTCAAAGCTTCTCTCCTGTACGCAGGCAGGTCTCAGAGTCCTTAGAGAGACACTGGCCCAGGATTTCTCAGGAAAGAATGTTGTAATGTTCCTTCCAGAAGCCTTTAAGGGTTAAATCTGTATCTGAGACCATCTGGAAGCACAAGCAGCCAGCATTCAGGTCATAACTCAAGAGTTTGGTCATAAGTTAAATTCCAGTTGTAATCCCAATTGTTCGTACCAGGCCAGTCATAACTCAAGGGTCCACTGTACTTCCCTGCCCTCGGAATACCACTCTGCTTGTTGGAATTCTCTACAGAGGGCAGCAGCATCAAATCCTGTCGGTAGCAAGAGGTTTGGGATGTGTGTGTGAGAGAGAAAAAGCTCACATTCTTGTGAGGAGCATTGAGGAAGGTTCTAAATCCCAGAGAGGACGAGTGAGGAAGATTCTGGCCTTGAGCATAGTTTTGAAAAGATCAGAGGCATCCCAGGTCTCTTTCTGTGGTGCAAGACAATAAAGATCCACTAGATGGCAGCACAGAACCAGTCAGTGACAAGCAAGGTCCCAAGGGTGCAAGTTCTAACCCTGGAGCAGAAGTAGCAAAGCCATCTGAGCTGGAGCCAAGTAGTACGAGGTTAGCTTAGCAACACTTTACTATTATTACTAAGCATATTCTGTGCCACATATTGTATTAAGAAGGAAGCATTCAATGCTGGGAGAGATAATATTAGCCCTATTTGTGGATGTCCACATCAGGCTTTCAGAGATTTCTGTTTTGCTCAAGAGGACACAGTTGGTGAGATGAAGTTCAGACAGTTTGGACTTGAGCCTCTGCTGTTAAAAATCATTCACCTGGAGGTGCTTAGGTTGGGAGCAGGTAAGAGATGATTAAGGCTGGCTGGGGATGGGGCCCAAGGATGAGGTCAGTCCGAGGACAGTGACTAGGAGTCTAGGCAGGGAGACCTTCTGGGGGCCTGAGGAGATGGGGTGTTGTAGGATTTTCAGGTTGAAGTTTCCATGAACCTTTACTTGAAAAAGTCACCCACAGTTTATTTTGGTCATGTAACCCTGAAGGACTGAGCACCTCAAATGCTGCAACCCCAAAACCCAAGGAGATACATGTGAAAAATCTGACAAGGGTTCTGTGCCTGAGTTTCAAAAGGCAAACCAGCTGGCAAGGTGGTGCCCTGACAGGTTGTCATGTCGCCAGCACGCTGCCTCTGGACACAGAGCCCCTTCTGGGGAACAGGGTGATGGCAGCTGCCTTGCTGTCTCTACAAAGGAAGAATGCAGGGCACACTCAAGTTCCCCAAATCAGCTCACTTCACCAGAGGACGCGAGAGAGACCTCGCCCTGAGAGCCAGATCAATATCTTCCTCTCTGCTCTTGCCACCAGTCATCCAGGGGGCGCTGTTAGTTGGAGAGTCCAGCCTAGTGCAAGCCCTGGGCTTCTCGGTTCAGAACTGTGACCTTTCCAGATGCAATCATCACTTGGGCCTTCTGGGAGTCACCAGGCATAACCCCAAATTTCAGGTTGAAATTGGTTTTCCCAAATCCATTGACACTAAAGGATGGATTCTTCCCAATTTCTATACAAAATCTCCTGAGCTAGCCTCAGTCTGGGAACCCAGACCACATTGTGGTTTATTGTTGTTCCACATCAGGGCTTTGAACTAGTTGTTTTGTCTGAAGTGCTCCTTCTTCCATCTATTTAGCGCTGGGGATTGGACCCAGGACCCGGTGTATGCTAGGCAACCATTCTACTGGACTAAACCCCTAGGCTTTCTTCCTCCAGCTTTATGGGTGCCTCTTTCTTATTTCAGTCTCAGTTTAAAATCTCCCTCCTTTTCAGACAGGTTTTCTCTGTCTCTCCTAAAAAAACATCAACTCTTCTGTCCTTTGTCACTTTCCAGTCCCAGGACGACTGTCCCATATCCAGTTTCCAGCAGGTTGACGCTGCTCTCACAGGACAGCTCCTGTCCACATCCCAGCGTGGGAGTGAGAAGTCACAGGATCAGAAAGAAGTGGAGCCCTCAGATATTATTCAGTCATTTAATCCACGTCCTCAGCTAATGAAGATTCTCATACTCCTTAATTTTACTGGGATTGCTGCTTTTTAAAATTTTTTTTGCCATAATGGTTATGGAGATGCAGCAACAGGTGACTGTTGAGAGAGGCCATAGGGCTCCTGGTTCAACGTGAATTTCAGACAAAGAAAAACGTAACTTTTAAAAAACTGTATGTCTTGATGCAGTATGGAAGACATTTATACTCAAAAAATATGTCATGGAATGTCGGTACACCAAAAAAACTATTGATTGTCTATCTGAAATTATAATGTCACCGAAAAATCTATATATTTCATCTGGCCACCCCACGGAAGAGGATCAGCACTTAACAAACAGCTTCCTTTAGAATGAGGCCTTCAGATTGAGGAGAACAAAGGCCACAGTGAGCTGTGATTTTTTTTTTTTTTTTGAAGGGTGGAATGAAGTTGGTTTCTTTCATGCCAAATAAGCAATCACAGACAACCCTGTCAGGGACCCAAACTCGTGACTATCGTGGGACTCAAGATCAAGAAAAAAAGTTTTTTTGTTTAAGACTAAGAGTCAGAGCAGCAGTCTTCTCACACACCATACACACAGCCGGTCAGCGGGTGAAGGGCAACATCAACAAGGAAGGTAAGAACATTCCTTCTCTCCAGAATCTGGCAGGATTTCTCACAAGGCTCCCCTCGCCCCTCGCAGTCTTCTCTAATTACCGAAAGGAGCAGCAGTTATTCCGGAGCCTGTCTGCTGGTGACAGCAGCCTCTGTCACTTGAAGGAGCGTTTCTCTTGGTTTGTGGGGCATGAGGGGATATGTGAATTCCCCACAGTGTTTTCTCAGGCTCTGAGCTTGAAGTATAGATGTACAAAAACAATTTAATGCAGAATTGGGCTTCCTGCCTGTAATTTGAACAGAGGGCGTATTCCTCCCCATTATCCACTTGAGATGATCAGTGAGTTCAACTGTGATTTTATTTTTTTATTTTTTTACAATTGGGAAGGACAATTACACACAAAATGGTCCCGCTGGATAGGAGTCACGTGATGAAATTTCCCACTTTGTTCTCCCATTTTCCCTGTTGTTCAAATTGGAGCTCATTAATATAACTCTCTGGGGATCAGACCTTTAATATTCACAAGAATATTTAAGCAGGAAGAAAAACACACAATAACAAGGAGAGAGGCTTCCATTATTGACTTTTAATGAGCTCACTTTAATCACAACCACTGCAGTTCATGAGTTTGTTGTTGTCATTTTTATTGTTCATTTGCATGTATAAAAGTTACTTAAAAAAAAAAAAGACTCCTAGCCATAAGACTTGAACTAGAGAGAAACAGAAGTTAATTTAGGTGGGGAGGGAAGACAAACTGTGAGACAATGTCAGGTCCTGGGCTTCCTTGGCTAATTCTGGGGGATGTGCACATGGGTAAGCCAAGGCAGATGCACAAGGTGGTTTCGTTTGTTGGAAAGTGGACTTGGTTATTTTTTAAAGCATATGTTTGGAATACATATTGAATGAGTCCATTGTGGGCAGCGGGTACTTGTTGCATCTTTATCCTTTTTATTTTCCTTTCCCCAGAGGTCTGTGCTCTCTGCCTCATGTCCCCATATCAGGCTCTCAGAAATACATTTATCTCATCATAGCCTCTGTCCATGAATTAGTACCAAATAGTAACTTGGAGGGAAAGAACTTCCATTAACCATTGCCCTGGGCCAGGCAAGATAGAGAATGAACAAAAATCATCCCTTTCTCCAAAAGTTTGTAGGATAGACTCAAATTAAAGGTAAATGAAGAACATTTTTCTGCCAAGTGATAACCCAGTTTGAAAGCTTTGTTGTGTTTTCATTTGTCTTTTCTTCTTCCACCTTACTGTCCCGTTAGTAGAAGGAGTTGAGGCCTATGCTACGAGCATTTCTGAAGCCCCTCATATCAGTGAGGAAGTCAGTACAAATCCTTTCAGAGAGAAACCAGAGGGTCCTCCTGTCAGTGTCTTTGTGGGTCTTTATGAAAAGCTGGGAAGGATGCGCTGAAGTCACTAACTGATGTCCATGTGTCCTGTCAGGTGTGCCTCTGACACCACAAGATGCCACAAGAAGAGGGTCACTTCAGCCGCGGCTATCCCAGGAAGGGTCACGGCCACGCTTACATCACAACCCAAGAGTAAGCTTAAAACCAGACCTGGCAGGGTTTCAGTTTGCTGTTTGCTGGCACAGGGCCACGTGCGACGTTCCCTTGTGTTTGTTTCCCCAGAGAGTAAAAACCATAACAACAAAGAGAGGAGACTTCTGGTTCTACACAGGGCTCACTCAAGTTTCTCTGGGGCCAAACAGGCAGGGGAAAGGATGATAAAAAATTGGATCTTTCTATTTTTGTCTGCACTCTTAGCTATTGAGCCTTATTCGCCATAGGTCCCCAAATTGAAAAATTTCCGTAAGTGTTGTATTAGAACTTTACAGAAAGGGTACCATGTCATTAGGAATTAATTTAAAAGGTTAGTATTTCTACAGTGCTATGTATCATATAATAGTCCAAGACACACACTGCTTTTGTTATTAAACAAGCTAATAATCCAGTGGGAGAGGTGGGCCAGAGAGTAACTTCAGCACATGCAAATGCTATTAGCTGGGTGTGCTGGCCTATACCCGCAGTCCCAGAACCCTGAAAGCTGAGATAGGAGGATCTCAAGTTTGAGCGTAGCTTGGCAACTTAGTAACTTGTCTCTATAAAAATTAAAAAGGACTAGGGATACAGCTCAGTGAGAAGGGCCTGGGTTTAACCCACAGCAAATCCCCACTCCAAAAAAAGAAAGAAAAAAATGAAAAAGTTAGCACTGTTAGTGTTAGGCAATACACACTGCGACTGTAGGATGCACTTTGCAGGTACGAGGAGTGGAGAGGGGTGTGGTGATGGAAGGGATTACAGTGGTAGGACAGAAGTTCCATTCTCTGAGCAGGGATTCCAACGGGACAACAAGGAATTGGGTTTTTATTTGGACCATGTTTTTCATGACCTGTTCAGAATACCCTGCAGACCTTCTCTCCTTTTGGAAAAAGTCACTGAAAAACCTTAAATGGAGCCAATCAGCAGGGACAAGCAAGTTGTAGAAGCCATTAAAGGCACTAAGAAAGAATCCAGGCTGGGAGCATTTCCTCTGAAGACCATGCTTGGATTCTCCTATACTCCTCTGTGGTCAATTAGTCAATCTAGGGAAGGAACAGGGGTGGCTATATCTCCTAACAAAATTTTCCAAGAGTGAAAAGAAACTCTAGGGGAGGACCTATTGCTCATGATATTAGTTTGCATACTGTTTCAGTTTCATAGAGTCTTCTCTAACATAACTTTATTTCCCTGTCAGGTAATAGTCTAAGAGTATAATGTTCAGTGTCCGTTAGTTTCCTTCAACCTGGTCACTTCCCTTAGACACTGGCTTTGTCTATCTGGTTGAAGGCAATGCATCATCACTGCCATGTCTCAGCAACAGAAAGCGGGAGACAGACAAAGAGAAGTGACACACATCACTTCTGCTCACCTCCTGCACGGTGACACCCGCCCTGGTGGGCCTCATCCTTTCTGTGTTGTAGATGAGGAAAGACTTAGCGAAACTGGGAAATATACAACCAGACATAGTGGTGTTGTGGTTTCTGTACGAGTCTGTTTGCCAGTGAAGCCCTATGCTATGGACCAGCAGAACAAATATTTATACAATTCCATCCAACAACAGGCAAGGGACGAGATCAGTATCTCCACCGCGCAGCTGAAGGCCAGGAACAGATCGTCAGCTCGGGAGGCGTTGTAGTGCCATCCCTCGTAGCTAGGGAAGCACGTAGCCAGGTGGCACCCACAGCCTAAGCAAAGTTACTCTCAGGGTCTAGCTGGGAAGGCAGAAATTAATGAGGCATTTCAACTTTACTGTAAGCAACTAATCAAGCATACATTCAGCCTGAGGAGGCACAGAAGACATAGAGATAACCTGAGGCAGTCACTCTACGATGCTGCTTCTACCCCTGAGGCTAGAAGAACAAAGGTCATCAGAACCCACAGCAGAGGCAGCAACCCACACCAAGGGGACCCACATCTCTGAGAAGGAGGCATCTCTGAGAAGGAGGCATTTCTTTCTTTCGTTTTTTTTTGTTTGTTTGTTTGTTTGTTTTTTTTTTTTTT